CTATGAATAACTCTTTGCCCACAAATTTGATAACCTAGTTGAAATAGATCAATTTCTTGATAAACACATCTACTAAACACACAAGAAAAATAGACAATTCGAAGAAATTGAATTGACAACTGTTAACCTTCCAAAAGAGAGAGCACCAGGCCCAAATGGGTTCTACCAAACATTCAAGTGAGAAATTATACCAGTTTTTTTATCTCTTTCAGAAGACAGAAGCAGAGGGAATACTTCTAACTCATACTATGAGGACAGCATTATCCTAATGTCAAAACCAAAGACATTACAAGAAAAAACTAGGCTACAGATCTCTCGTGAACATAAATGCAAAAAATTCTCAACAAAATAATAGCAAATTGAATCCAACAATGTATGAAAAGAATTATATACAACCACGAAGAGGAATTTACTGCAGGTATGCGAGGCTGGTTCAACATTCAAAAATCAGTGTCATCTATCTCATCAGCCCAAAAAAGAAAAGTCACTTGTTTGTAAAGGTCGAAGGAGCATTTTACAAAATCCAATACCCATTCATGATTTTTTAAAAAGCCCTCAATAAACTGGGAGTAAAGGGGAACTGTCTTAACCTGATAAAGAATACCTACAAAAAACTCTACCTAACGTTGTCAAAATGTCAGTTCTTCCCAAATTGATCTATAGATTCAGTGCGATCCAAATCAGACTCCCAATGAGTTGTGTGTGTGTGTGTGGATATCGACACTGATTCCAGCATTTACGCGGAGAGGCGAGAGACGCAGACTGGCCGACTCAGTGTCATTAAAGGAGAAGAACAAAAGCGAAGGACTGATGCTGCCTGACTCGAAGGCTGACTCCAAAGCTACAGTAATCAAGACAGTATTGGTAAAATGACAGACATACATTAATGAAACAATTGAGAACCCAAAACAGACCTACCTGCATACGATCAACTGATTCCTGGCAGAGCAGCAAAGGCAGTAACAATGGAACAAAGACAGTGTTGTCAAAACTGGCTCTGGAACCACTGAACATCGACATGCAGATGAGTGAGGCCATGCACAAACCTTATACCCTTCCCAAAAATTAACTCAAAAGGGACCACACGCTTAAGTGTAAAACACAAACCTTTATCTAAAACTCCTGGAAGATAACTTAGGAGAAAATCTAGATGACCTTGGTTTGGGCGATGACTTTTTAGATCACCAAAGGCACAACCAATGAAAGGAAGCATTGATAGGTTGGAGTTCATGCACATTAAAAATTCTGCTCTTTGAAAGATAATGTCAAGAGAGTAAACATATAGGCCACAGACTGGGAAAAAGTATTTGCAAAACATGTAATAAAGGACTATTACCCTGAATATACTAAGAATTCTTAAAACTCAACAATAAGAAAACAACCCATTTTTAAATGGACCAAACACCTTAACAAACTCCTCACTAAAGAATATACACAGCCTGTCTGGCATAGCTCAGTGGATTGAGCACGGGCTGCGAACCAAAGTGTCGCAGGTTCAATTCCCAGTCAGGATACATGCCTGGGGTGCAGGCCATGACCCCCAGCAACTGCACATTGATGCATTGATGTTTCTCTCTTTCTATCTCCCTCCCTTCTCTCTCTAAAAATAAATAAATAAAATCTTTTTTAAAAAAAGACTAAAAAATTATGTAAAAAAAAAAGAAGATACATAGAGGACAGGTAAGTATAAGAAAAATGCTTCATGTTATACGTCATCAGGGAAATACAAATGAAACGGAGACACTGCTGAACACCTATTAGAAAGGCCAAAATCCGCAACTCTGACAACAGCAAATGCTGCCAAGGGGAGAGAGCAACAGAAGGGCCCATTCGTTGCTGGCGGGAGCGCAACGTGGTGCGACGACTTTGGAAGACAGTTTGGCAGCTTCTTACCACAGTAGACATACCTTCACCATGTGATCCAGCGGTCACACTCCTTGGTATTTACCAGAAGGAGTTGAGAACTGGCCACAGAATGACCTGCGCATGGATGTTATTAGCAGCCCCATTCACAACTGCCAGAAAGTGGAGGCAACCAAGATGCCCTTAAGGCGGCGAATGGATAAATAAACTGTGGTACCTCCAAGTAATGGAATATCATTCAGCACTAAAAAAAGAAGGGAGCTATGAAGCCATGAAAACACATGGAGGAAACTTAAATGCAAATAATGAAATGGAAGAAACCAGGCTGAAGATGCTACACACTCTATGGCTCCTACTATGTGACATTCTGGAAAAGGATGAAACTGGAGGCTGTGAAGATTGGTGGCTGCACCCTGGCTGGTGTGGCTCGGTTGGGCGATGTCCCGCAAGCCAAAAGGTCACTGGTTTGATTCTCAGTCAGAGCATGTGTCTGGGTTGTGGGTTTGGTCCCCGGTTGGGGCCCATGTGGAAGACAACCAGTCAATGTTTCTCTCCTTCTCTCTCTCCCCCTCCCTTTCCCTCTCTCTAAAAAAAATTTTTTTAATAAAATTTAAAAGAAAAGAGTAGTACGGTAGTTGCTAGAGGTCAGTAGAAAGGGAGGAATTTTAGGACAGGGAAGCTATTCTGTATACTGCTGTAATGGTGGCCACAAGGCATGACACACTGTCCAAACCCATAAAGTGGACAGCCCCGGAAGCAAGGCGGCAGACTTCGGGAGACGCTGCTGCCCGCGTCAGTGCGGGGTCGTCAGCTGTCGCAAGTGCTGCCCTCAGGCGGGGCTGCTGGCGACGGGGCGGGCTGTGCTTGCGTGCAGGCAGGGCGTACATGGGAAATCTCTGTTCCTTCTGCCCAGCTCCCCTCGGAACTCAAAATGCCTCCAAAAAATAAAGACTATTTTTTTTTTCAAAAAGAATGTACCTTGAGGATTTTCTGTTTTTCATATGAGCCTTATGCTTTCGTCGATAGGGCCTCTACATGATCTGAAAGGCACCCCCAAAATGTACTGTCAGGGCAGGGCGTTGGCAGCCGAGGCCCTAGCCCCCAAATTGCTCAGATCCCATGCGTATGAGTTGTGAGCTACAATGTTACTTAAACCTCAGAACCTGGGGGAGAAACCCGACTGGTGGAGGAGCTCGTGGCCGGGAGAGGAGAGGTGCAGCGGGCGGCCAGGACAGCTGGGTTTTCTGACTTCGTTCCGATTCCCAGGAAAGCAGGCTGATCGTTCTGGTTCTGTGTGCTCAGAGCAGGACAAAACTGAACAAACCCCAACACAATGAAAATTGCTGTTCAGTCAAGAAGCTAGCATGTACCTTATTGAATTGGTCAGCTTTGTTATTTACGATAATTAGGTATTTGTGGTTTAAAGTGTCCTTTGTGGAAGCGCTCTAACCTGTGGCGCTCCCGACTTTTATTTGCTTCTTCCTCAGGGGGTATCACTCCTTCAACAGCACTCTTCCTCGGAGACTGCGATTCTACATGTTGTGTGTTTTTAATTTTTACTTTGACATAATTATAGATTCATAAGAAGTTACAAAAGAATATACAGGGAAGTCTTCATGTACCTTTCACCTAGCCTTCCCTCATGAAACATCTTGTGTAAACAGAGTTATCTATCGAAACCAAGAACTGACATCCGTGTACTCCCCGGGCCTTATCCATGTTTCATGAGCTTATATTACAGGCACTCAAGTCTACAGGTGTGGTTCCATGCAATTGTATCATGTGTACCTTTGTGTGACCACCCCCACACCCAAGAGGCAGCATCCCACTCGGGATTCGGAAGGACCGGGAAGGGATGTGGAACGAGTCACTTTGCTTGTAGTCCCGTCACCAGCTCGTGTCCAGGCCTGTGTGTTGTCGGACTGCCGCTGCTCTGAGGGGGGCGGTCACATAGCTTTTGCAACATAAAGTGGCTTTTTAGTCTTCTTACTTTCATAGGATCATCATTAAAAGGAGTATTTGTCAGTAATTGTGTTTGAAGACGATAAATCATATTAGTCACTCTGTTTGAAGGAAGTTAAATGATAAATATTTATACCCCAAAGCATAAAGGTCTATAATTGATCTTCATTTGGGGGGGCAAATTCACCAAGTTCTTTTTCTGCCAAGTTTTAGAACATTTGATACTTGCTCAATCGTGTTCTAACACCCAGTGCATCTATGTAGTTCGTGAAATAGTAAGGAGACTGTGAGCTTCCCAGAGAAGGACCCTGGTGTGTTTAAAGTGCCTAGGCACAATTCTGTAATAGAAACATGGAAACAGTCTCTAATAGCGTACTCTAAACATTGTCGACATAATTAATCTCTGCCTCACGTACTTTTTAGGTAATGACTGTCTCCAGAGCTTACAGATATATAATCATACCTGCTGTTCACAGAGCATGAGGACTTTCATTGTTGTTGCACATAGCATAGAAAAACTTAGGGGTTTAGGAATGTAAGTTCAGTGTTATTATGGTTTCTTTTCCCAGGATTTGCTGATAAATCTACAATCCAGTAAGACTGCTCTGTTATATTACCTCCCCCCAGTGTCTTCCTTAGGAACTCTTATTTCTGACCCTGTTTTGGCAAGAGTTCTCTGTCTGTGGGCGAGGAGGTCTGGGGTCGTTCTGGCCAGTCCGGGGTCAGACAACTCAGCCCTGCTAAAGTAATGGCGGGTTGCAATGGAAAGTGAAATGTCTAAACACCAAGATAGTAATATCGACCGAAAACAGCTTTGGGTTTTTATAAAGAATTTACTGTGGCCCTGGCCAATGTGGCTCAGTTGGTTGGACGTCGTCCTGCAAACTGAAAGGTCACACGCAGGTTCAATTCCTGGGTTGCGAGTTCGGTCCCGATTGTGGTGTGTATGAAAGGCGACCAGTCGATGTTTCTCTCCCTCGCTTTCCCCCTTCCTCCCTCTCTCTCTAAAACCAATAAGCATGTGCTCGGGTGAGAGTTAGGGGGGAATAAAAGAATACATTCTACCAGATGTAATTGTGGGGTTTTGTTAAGGATTTAATATAGTGAGAACTCAGCAAAGCATCAAACTGCTAATCCCGTTGACTCATAAATGCTGGTTTGAAAAAGTCAGTTTATTTAAAAACAGTAGCCGAAAAACACTGAAAGCCTCCAGTATTCTGAAAAGAGTGATCACCAGCCCACGCTCATGAAAGGAACAGAGGAGGGAGATAATTGCGTGTTAACGGCTGTAAAATGAAAAGGCCCAGAAAAGAGACCTGATTATCTTCAATTAAAAAATAAGCTCTATCTTTATGGAAATGTAACCAGAACACAGTTTTTCGACGCTGGGCGAGGAGAACCAGGGTTGTGTCAGTGTGACCCCACTGCACCCACTCAGTCATGAGAGCGGCGACCAGCCGCTGGTGACAAGCGGAACCGCCGCAAAGACGCTTGGACGGAAGCAGGTCAGCGTTTTAGGAAGCAGGGAACAAGCAGCAGCACTAGTGACGTCGGGTGTCAAGTCAGCACGTCGTCGACACAGGGTTGGGGTGAAGAGCAGACGGAGGGGGGCGGGTGGGGTTGACAGCATGAGGCGTTTTTTTAAAGCTGGGTGTTACCTCTCAGAAGACAGTAACTCCAGTTTAAAGCTAAGTTCTACGCTGTCATCTCACAGGTATCAGTGTGTGTTACTTCCTGGCTATAATTAAAAACAAAATTCAGAATATGGTTTTATATCTAATGTCACGCATCAGTGTCATTCTTAAGCTCATACATTATTCTTTTTCTCTGTAAAGAGGACAAATTCATGGCTTGGCTGGCCGTTCATGACTGCCGAGTAACAACACAGCTAACATTTACTGAGCACACGCTGCGTTAGGAGCGTGCTGAGGAAGCCCCCTGTACTGTTTTATCTAAACCTTAGAACAGTACTATGAGGTAGGTGCTGTTGTCCCCATTTTACAGATGGGAAGGCTGAGGCCAGTACCTTGCAGAGATAGATCCAAGGTGCCTGAACCAGGGTGAAAACACACTCTCCAGAGCGCATGCACCTCACCACAGGAGTCCACTGAGGAAAGGTACTGGTTGCCAGGGGTGGGGGTGTAGGCAGCAAATCAGGCAGCCAAGGGCACAGGGGAGAAACGGTGAGAGCAGACGTGTTCTCACCTGAGGCTACATTTCCAGGCCAGAGGAAGTGTTCGAGGAGATGGGAGTCTAAGCTTCAGATCAGTAAAAAGGGGGAGAAAAAGGATTTTCTAAGGGAAGAGTAGACATGACATTGGAGGGTGAGAATTCTCCAAATTCTCTAGAGAATGTGGAAATGACAAAACAAGAGTCTGTGAGCGGGAAGCAGTGAGGTCGTGAGAAGCAAAGTAACCCCAGAAGGCTCTGGGCGAAGGAGAAGGCGGGCTCCTCGGGAGTGGGCGGACGTGTAGGACTGGCGAGGTCTGGGGCAGGCGTTCCTTCGCTGTCCCCGTCACCTCCCCTGCCCTCGGCGTTTCAGCGGCATCTCCGTGCTCCAGAGGCCGGCTGGCCAGCACCCGTGAATGAGCATTCACCTCCTGTGCACACGGTCGTACGCTGTTCCGGTGTATGTCGCCTGGAAGAGCTTCTTCTTGCTCTGTAGGAATTGCCTCCCCCTGAAAAAATACTCTTTCCACCAGTGATCTTTTTCCACAGCTGAGCACTCAATCCATATAGTATAGGGACCCTACCTCAGAGCTACAGACTGCATTATTGACACTGCCAGGTGGGTCATCAGAGCTCATTCACTCCAGTGGGTGTTGTCTATACTTAAATCCGGACGAGAACAGTTTTCGACTCTAATAAGCATCGTATTTGCCATATTGTCCCAGCTCATTTCCCCCCGGCACACCCGTCAGCCAGATGGAACCGTAACCTGTCTTAGCCGGTGTGATCTGCGTCTCTTTCCCAGCCACTGCTCTGCTTCGTCACCGTCGAGTTTTCTCAGTCCTGAAAAAGCGAGCTTGCTTTTTGTGAAATCTATGTAGATGCTTAACAGAGTTTGTGTTAAAACATCAAAGGATTTTTAAAATTTCTATTTTGCTTTTAATGAATGCATTGTCCAAGTGTTCTACTTTATAGAACTAAGGGTCAGAACTGTTGAGAACAGCTAGAATCAATGATTATGAAGATGTAGAACATACAGGATTTCATCCAGGAAAACTAGTTACCAAAACTCGAGCTAGTTTTATAAGGATTCTTTAAAGACGTATTTTCTAAACACACATGTAAAATTGTTATGTGGAAATCTTACTTTAAATTACTCCTGAGGGTTCTATATTCTGCCATTGAAAACAAAGACAGTTTTTTAAAAAGGACCCGTGGACCTGCGTACAGTGGTCGGGCTGAGTTTGTTAAAGAGCTCTGTGCCATCTCTGCCAGTTTTGCGTTGCCCTTTCTCTGATGTGCAGGAAACAGCTGGGCATGCCTTCTACATCCAGGAGATACCTGTGGCCCCTTCACTGTATGAATCTAATTTGGAATTGTGTGTACTATTTGAAACCTTGTTTGAAAGAAGGTTCCTAACAAACCTTTTCCTGCATGGAATGTCAATGAACTGCCTGCCTTCAATCAATAACGAGGCGTTAACTCCTCAATAGCACCGTCACCGTGAAACACAGTCCAGGCCCCACCGTCCACCGTCGAAGTACTAGACACTTACGCAGTATTCGACCAGACTCTGAACGTGTCCAATGTGGGAGAGAACAGTGCCCACATCTACCTTAACGGAAAGAATGACCAGACCTTGGCAATGTTGCGGCTGAACAATAACCAGCTCCGCTTACGCTCCAAATGTGTTCCCAGCAGAAAAGGAGATAGACTTGGTAGAAGCAGAAAAATACAATAAAATAGATTTCTTCTGTTGGCAGAGCATATATATTTATACATTCTTCTGTGTTTAGCTCAGTGGTTAGAAAACAGTTCCTGGAAAGACTGCAGGACATGAATGTTTTCAATTTGAGGTTGAACATTTCATCTAATTCCCTGGGACAAGGTTCACTGCCCTGGAGGGGGCTTGGCTCCGTCTTTACAACGCACACTAATGAAGTTCAGGTTTGGGACAGAGAATGGCTGGTCCGTATCAGACAATCACGTGAACTGGGAACGGTTTCCCACAAAAGTCTTAAACAGCTATGTAATATCGCTCTGGACAGTGGCTCTTCTGCCGTCCCCAGACGCAGGTAACTGACCGCCCTCACTCCAGGCGCTCAGTGCCTGCCTGCTTTTCAAACTTAGATCTGGTGGCGACCTTCATTTTCGCACAGGGAACGTTGTAGAAGAAGTCAGGGCAAAGGCGACCTGGATGCGGTTGGTTATGCTCAAGGACACTTCACGATACCCTGAGCACGCCCTGAGAAGGCCGCTCTGGGCTGAGCATGTCTGTCGTGTCCTCGCAGCTGTCTGAAGTAAGCGGAAATGCAAAAGAAAGTCGTCCTTCACACCTTTTCATGTTGAGACGTCTGTAGTGAGCGTTCAGGGATTTTACCTCATCGGACCCAGCCCACCTGCAAAGTCAAGGACGTGGGTCATGGGATGTGAGCCGTGCCCCCACCCCAGCCTGCACACCTTTGGCCATGCCTCCCAAGACTTGATTCCGACTATCTTAAAAGACACATGCAGCTATTTGACTTGGCAGATGTCGTGCCTATATCCTCAGAGTGATTCACAATTTGTGTTGAGTCAGTAGGTGGAAAAACGTTGATTTCTCGAATTCCTTTATCCGTGAAGGATGAACCGTGGGCTGTCATTTCCTGACGGAGCGTGGGAACTTCCATTTCTGTGTGCGATGCTGCGTTTGTCCCGGGTGGGCCCTCCATCGTCTGTGAGGTCGTGCATGGGCTGTGCAAGTCCCCGCCTGGGCCTTGGTGTCCTCCCTCCTCACTGAAGGGGGTGGGCCAGGTGGTCTCCTTAGGCCCCTTCCGGCTTTTGCATTCCACAGTCCAGTGCTGCTCCTGCGTGTAGGAGGTCAGAGCATCCATTGCACAGATCGGCTAGATATGATCCGGGCTGTCCAGACAGTAAACTCTCCCAGCAGACAAATCTGCACGCGCAGTGACAGCAAGCCCTGCAGGGAGTGTGTTCTGGGCTTGCTGGAATGACAGTGGACATCCGGGCTGCCGGGGCACTCCTAAGCGCGAGGCAGGGCTTGTCAAATGCCAGTGCCCCATCAGTGCTGGGGGCTTCCCGGAGATGGTGGCCTGATTGAGGTCGTGACAAGCAGCAGGAGGTGTCAGGGTGCAACCCAGCAGCAGCAGGTCCCTCGGGTTCCTCCCCACTCCTCACTGTCCCTACCGACTCAAAGGTCCCAGCCTCGAACTTGGGCAAGTTCTGTCACTGTTCTAACACTTCTCTTTGGTTATTTCTTTTTTAATGAAGATAATATCTACTGTTCAAGGCAAAACACTTAAAGATAATGTACTTGAAAGTGGCTAGCAAATAGGTGGAGCTTGATGAATAGGGCACAAAAACCAGCAATTTGTAAAAACAAGCAAGCAAACAACACGTAGGAGGACCTTCTCTGAAGCCGAGGGCAGAAAGCCAACACGTGCAGGGCAGCGAGCCACGTTTCGCAGGGCGCCCCAGGACCGTTTTGCAGAGAGCGCCTGCGCGTCCCCGTCCCCGGGGTCCCAGCGCTGGCGACAGGGACGTGGAGCGGTAGGTCTTCTGATTCCAAAAACTGTTGCGTTCCTTTCACAGTGTGCCACCAACACACCATTACACTTGGTGTGTTTTACAGCTAGGGTTAAACTGATGGTGATTCTGGGAAAGGGAGCGCATGACCAGAAATGGTAATAGTACCTGTCGGGGGGTTACCTTTATGCCCTTTTTATGTGACCCCGGCTCTCCTGACCACCGTGTAAGACAAGCCCAGGAAACCCCGGCCAGCTGCTCCTCACTCTGAGGGAACCTGAATTTCGACGCGGCTCCTAGGGGTAGCTGGAAGATTTGAATATCTCTGGGAGGTCACTGTCCAGCTTCGAAATAACTTTATAAATGGGTTTCTTCCAGGAAGGATCTGAGTCTTTCCCTGCGGAGACAGCCCTGAAGAACTCCTGTAACGTCAAGCTGGCGACCTCCAAGAAGCAATCGGGGACCTGCATTCCCAAAGAGACCCCCGGGAAGGAAAAGACGTGAGGCGGGGGAGCCCCGGAGCCCTGCCGACCGTCCCCGCCGCCTGGTGCTGCCTGTCGCCTGGGTGGAGGGCTGATGAAAGCATCCCGGCGCTGCTGGCCCCTGGGTTTTGCAGCCCTAGGGACCCCCTGCTTCCCTCATCAAGCACAAACCTGAAAACGATGGCACCAGTGAGACAGCCCCGGGAGAGGGCGTATTAAGGACACCCTTTCGTGGCAGGAGCTGATTCCAGTAATGGGTGACATTTTCGTAAATGGGAAAATCTGACTCTGATGGAAGTTAAACCTGTGGTTCAAAGGGGTGGGGGGGTAGCCTTCTTTTCCTTAGTGGCTAATGCAGAAAAGAGTGCCCCCAAGTTCATGGGTCATACCTCATCCCACCATCTTTTGGGGGCTGGATCCTTAGGACTTGGACATCATTCCTGCTTCCAAAACCCCCCATGCGGCTGGGCGGGGCCAAAGAACGTGTTCCAGGACCTCACTCAGACTGGCATCGCAATCTCACATGGGGACACCCCCCGGGCCCTCCAGGTCCAGCCTGGCCCGGGGCTCACCACCGCTGCACACCCAGTGACCACCCCCACCTGGAGAGACGTGGCAGCGCCACCCCTCCCATGTGTCCCGACCCACAAGCCTCAGGAGGTACAGCCCCTGTTCCCCGAAGACCGACGTGGGGCCCTCTGGTGGAGCGTCGGACGGGTGCACGCCAGCAGTTCCGCCCTTCCATGGGACGCAGTGACTCCCATTGACTGGAGTCATCAGTCGGCTGCTTGCTGGGCTCGCAGTCCCGTGAGAAAGTCAGGACGAGGCAAGTGTGGCTGGTGACCAGACACGCCTGGGCCCTGCTGCACACGGTGCCGGGCTCACAGCTGTCGGCTGCACACAAGGAAATGTGTGTCTGGACCAGGAGTTCTCTCCAGTGGTATGCAGACCAGCTGCTCGCCCTGTACTGAGGCCTTATCGCTGGGGTGCCACCGGTGTGCCTTCACAAAGCTCTCCAAAGGACCGAGAAGCTCGAATATCGTTTATTTGTTATGTCCAGACAGGATTTGAGATGACTTACTACGGAAGGCCCACGCATAAAACTGTTCAAGGTAGAATCAAGAGAAGAACTGAATGATGAACAGAAATTGTGGTAAAGAAAACGTGGGCTGCCCTGGCCAGGTAACTCAGTTGGAGCATCGTCCCGATACACCAAGGTTGTGGGTTCAATTCCCGGTCAGGGCACATGCGAGAACCAGCCGATGAATGCATAACTAAGTAGAACAACAAATTGAGTTCTCTCTTTGTCAAACCAGTAAATTTATAACAAAGAAGAAAGTAAAATTTTGACCAGGAGTAGGTGCTGCACCTGGGCCCAGCGTTTACTCCTGGGCCCCCTCGGCACTGAGGCAAAAAGCCAGCAAGTTATAGAAGCTGATAATCACAGAGTATTAGGCCTAAAACAGCATAATGCCTGGCAGACCTCTGCTTCAGTTTCAGAAGGAAGACTGGCTGTGTATTCTGTTTGCGGCATCCACCTGTGTCCTGCCTAAGAGAACATACTGAGACTGTAATCTTTGCAGACGGTGAGAGGTTGGCCCCAGGCTGCCCTGGCTCTCAGGGATGTAAGGACAGACCCAGAAGGGGATCTGCCCTAAAACTGCAACCTCCCGCGACCAAGTGTGTGGCCTTACCTCAAAGTCACTTCCCTTGTTGTAGTGCACATTGAGAGCCCGAAAAAGCTCTGAGCCACGGAGAACCACCAACACTTCGGGATCCGTGACGCCATCTGAAATTGCTTGCCGGGCAAACTTCTCCATTTGGATGTAATAGAACTCACGGAAGTTGCTGAACCACTTGATCATCTGGGAGGTGATGCAGCGGTTGAACTGTACAAACAATGGGACACCTCAGGTCAGCTGCTTACCACGAGTGCTCGGAGGCAGAGCGGTCCGCTTCCACGCAGCACAGAGGCTCCTGCAAACGGCTCCGCCAGCCAGCGTTAGAAAGGGCCTCCTTTGGAGAAGCAGCCAGGGCTCTTTTCTAAGCCTATCCAGTTACATGCAAACATTCTGAGCTCTAGTGCCCGTTTGAAACTAAGTGCTTTCTGGCATATTAGACTTATGAGGATTTTTCACTCATGGAAAGGTCGTCATGGGGTCTAGGTGTGACTTTAAGAGGCTCCAGGGTCAAGGCCAGTTTGGCTTCAGCTTCTGCTGCACCCAGGCTGATTGCATGGCAGCCCCAGAGCCTTCTGTCAGATAAGGGGGCGCCAAGGGAAAGAGTGAGGGTATAGATAATTTATCAGCAACTTGGAGTTGCAGAATACATTGAAATCAGAGCTTGATGTAGGGATCAACCAAGCAACTGAATATGCAGGACAGACCTGGAGAAAGCAAAGGAATGATACAGATACAAGGGACTGGCCCTCCCCCAACACTCACGCTGAAGGGGCCCTTAGAAACTTTACCGGAGCAGGCAAGGTCTGGTTCCAAACGTCAGAGCTTGCTTTTCCTTACTGTCACACTTGACCTGTACTTACCTCCTTTCTTTGAAATAGCTATTTGAATGTCACTTGGACAGTGTCCGACTCTTTACATATTGTCTTTTTCGTAGTGTCTTCAGCAGAGACAGAACACTAGGCCAAAGACACCATTTACTAAGGTTCCTCTCCCCACCCCCCACCCGCCCTTGCCCCCCCACTGGCCCCTCCCTGCGTGTTATCTGCAGCTCAAGGCTTCAAAGTTCAAATGCCCCACCCTCCTAGCCCAAAGTCGTTCCAGATTATTCAGGCCGAGCCTCAACCCAGAACTGGAAGTCGCACCAATTCTGCCAACGTTGAGGGGAGTTCAGGCGCACACCGGGAGCCCTAGGACTTGCCTCACCCAGGCAAAACCCACCGACACCCAGGAGCGTGGCAGAGGTGGAGTTCCGGGGGTGGGGGTGGGGGGGAAATGACGGTACCTGCACGTCGGGGAAGTAAGCCTTCAGGAGGCCGGAGCTGGGGTAGCGTGTGAAGAAGAACATTAGCTTGGCCTTCTTCAAGTGGCCGGGATTTAGACCTTCCTGGATGTGTCCCCGTGTCAAGGAAAATCCACACCAGTTCATCGAACAATGTTATCCAATTAACCTCATGGCGACTCGTCCTGTTCCTTATGGTTTTCCTTTTATTTTGGTCGAATGGTGCATTTGCTCCATTTTTGTGTCTCTACCAAGTCTGATCCGATAAGCTTTTCCTTCTGGATGCTGAATACCACATAGGGACAGTACAGCTGCAGAATTTAAAAACCGTTTTGATGTGTAAAAGTTCTAAGGCACAAGTCATGTCAAATATAATTGGCTGCACTTTGCATGTGCTTTCAGAATAGGAGGGGAAGAGATGGCAGTTCTACCCCCAAGAAAACATTTCGAAACCCCAAGTAGAGATTTAATTTCCCCCTTTCTGCTTCAGTTTCCTCATCTGTAAAATGCGTCCATTCAGCAGTCCCCATGCTGGCTGGCTCTCGTCATTGCCTTGGCAGTGTTCACGCCTGCAAGCATCTGACGAGAGAGCACTGGGTCACAGTTTGCTTTGCCTCAAGGAGCTTGAGCTGCTGCTCTGCACCTGCCCTCTGTTCACCTGGAAGAACTTTCCCTCCTCCTTCCCGTGTCAGTTCAGACGCTCCTCCTCTGTGAAACCTTTCCTTGTCAAATTAGACCTTCCTTACCCGGGCCACCATGGCTCTTTGCACAAACCTCTGTTGTGGCAATGACTTTGCTGGGGTTTTCACTGCGCGTTTGTCTCCCCATTTAGACTGTGGGCTCCTCGAGGGCAAGGACCTTATTTTTTAGCTTTGTATTCTACACGCCTAGCCCAGTGCTAGGAACACCGTAGGTGCTCAATAAACATTTGTGAGATAAAGGAATGAGTGAATGATTAAATGGTCAACTTTAATCCATACACAAATAGAGAAATTGTATTGCAGGGCATACCTCAGTCTGGGAACAGATTCCTTCCCTTTCAACAAGAGCAGGGAGCTGTGACAGGACTGCCTAGCACCAGGGTGGGAGGGAAAGAACTATTTTTACACAAGAACACTTAGCGTTGTGGGGGACAGTTCTGGGGCCGGGTGGGAAGCTTTACACAGAGGAATGCTGGCACTCAGGCCCGAGAGCTATAGCGTCAGGACAGTTCAGATTTCTCAGTAGGATTTACCAATTTAGCCACATGAAACCAACTGATCACAGTGAGAGCTGTCCCTGGCACCCAGGCTGCCCCAGTGGCCTTACTTCTTATAGGTTCATAAAGGCTGTGAAAGAACCCTGGACTTGGGAGTCCGAACACCCAGTTTCTGATACCGATTTTGCCACCCATTAGCTGTGTGATCTTGGACAAGCCAGTTACCCTCTCTGGGCCATTTCTAAATGTAGATGGAGTGGGGAAAGCTTGTGCTTGGCAGTCAGACCCCGGTTTTGAATCCTGGCTCTGTGTACGCCTGTCTGGTGACTTTGGGCAAGTTAGTTCACTTTTCTGTCCCTTCCTCTCAGACAGCAGGTCCAGGGTGGAGGCTCGAGGCCCACAACCCCTTATCTGAGACACTGGGCCAAAAGGAGTTCTGATTTCAGAATGTTGTTTTATGAAGGTAATATGTCACGTGGACTGCATGTTAGTTAACCCCCACGGGGAGGCCATGGCAGCGGTCTGTAACCCAGCACACTGGCATTTCCACAGCAAAGTGGGTGACTATTTACACTAAGTGGGGCAGTCTGTGAATGACCTCCACTCGGTGCAGGCCAGGCTTGCCACCAACAAGGCTCCCACTGGCCTTAAGGCAAAGAAATCATAGGGATTTTCAGAGCTTTTGGGGTTTCAGAACGTAGCACAGTGGTGGTGGACACACGTACCTGAGAAATGCTGGTGGCGGTGATGCCACAGAGAAAGTGCACAGCAAACACCACCCTCACTATTCACTCTGACCACACCTGCCTCACCTGTCTGGCAGGGATGCCACGTGAATGTGGAAGTTCTCTTACACGTCAAAGTGTCTTGCCCTTAGGTGGCTTTCACGGCCCACAGGAATAAATCTCTAATGCTGGAACATAGGCAGCAGGAATGAGGGGTTAGTTGGGGGGTCAGGATGCTGCCCGGAGCCCCCAAATCATTCCAAAGGCAGCCAGTGCCTCACCTGTGCAGCCAGGCCCCATGGATTGGCCCCGGAGCCCCCTGAGGCTCTCTGAGCCCAATCCTCATTTCACAGGGCAGGGCTCAGCACGCAGTAGGCACACAGAGAAAGGTCAACAAGTGCCTCCCAAGGGAAGGACAGCAGAGACTTTTTGAGGACTGAGTTCTTGAGTTTCTTCCACTTCTGCCTGACTTTAACAGGAAATCCTTACCCAGTGGCCTCTCATTAAAGACCCAGACAGGTGATAGCTTAACGGGAGAATCTATCTATGCTGATAGCTCTGTACCTCCTAGATTCCCTGCTGCCTGAACAGGCAGTGGTGGCAGGTGAAGTGTTCTTAGCATCGGTTTCATTGTTGCAACTGCCTTGCCCTGAAAGCTCCCAGCAGCACCGAGCTTCGCGGTGTTTCCAACACCTGTGGCCAGCAGGGGGCGCACGTAGCATTTAGGACACAGGAGCCGGTGTGGCAGTGAGTTGGTACCTCCATCCTGCCGCCCTTTCTACACTGCACGGCTGTTCACACCACTTACGCATGGACCTCTGGACACTCAAGTCAGGGCTGCCCATGAGAAGCAGCAGCATGAGCTCAGGTCGCTTTTAAAAAAGCAACATTCAGAATCTGTTGTCAAGAACTTCAGTCCTCCAGGATGCTTGCTGGAAGAGGGTTCTTTGATCCTAGGAGTCTGGGACTTCACATATCCTCTTCTTGCAGCTTCACATTGTGCTTCAGCATGTTAAAGGCTCTGAGGAGTCCCGCAGCAGAGAACTAACCCAGTATTTAGAGAAGCTACTCCCCTGACCCACAATTCAACTACTATTAATATCCTGAGGAAGCTTTACTCTGGGAAACCATTTAAGAAAGTGGAGTCTGCCTAAACATGGCAAAGATGATGCGATAAGGTCCAGACCCCTACACACCAGTGAGGCCCCTCAGCCTTACCCCCTGGTGTCTCCCCTCCTATCACATGCCCAACCCCCCCCCCCCCGCCCCCTTCCCATAGGCTCTGGTCCTCTCAGCTGCAGCTTAGAAGCTGTTCCTTAAACTGAAGTCTCCTTACCCCTTCCAGCTGCCTCAGGTCTAGCCCCTGAGGAAAAGCTCTCCTTCCCCATCTGTCTCAGAATTTTCTGGTCCCTCAGATCTGCCTCCTGTATCGTATTTTGGCAGCCCATTTGAGTTAAAAAAAAAAACACACAACAAAACACAGCCCTTTCAGACCCAAAGCAGTAAGTCAGTAGTGGTAGAATCTGATGTGTCACAGGGAAGATAAACGAACCTTCCTTCCCAGCATCCTTAAACCCCAGACTGTGGTCCCCACTTTTCCAGGAACCTAATAGCCGTGAGCCACTGGGAAGGAGGGCCCAGAGGCAACATTAAGAGGACCGTGGAGAAAGCAAAGCAACTCCCTGTGTCACGGGGTCATCCGTCTCCACCTCCCCCGTCCTCCCGATCTGCTGCTGCTGCTCGGGGCTCTGACAGTGAGATCCTCATTGCTCGTAAAGGATATGTGGACGGAGGGAAAAGGCAGCACGTCGGGGACAGCCCGCAGGCCACCCTGCTCCATCTTCACGGAGGGCAGGAAGGGCAGTGCCTCCCAGCGGGTGGGCACGAAGGGCACCGGGGGCTGCTGCCGGCTCTCAACCGATGGTCGCAGCTGGACAGCTCCCCAGGGTCGCAGGGCAGGCTCTGCGGAGCAGTGACTCGGGGAAGACGGATCCTGGGGAAGACGGCTGCTCCAGTGGCCGCTGGACCCCTGACCCAGGAGCTGGCTAAGAATCTGATTTTCCTGGATGTGGGGAGGCACCATTGGGGGGCAGGTCGCTGGGGGAGGCTGATAGGGTTTGGAGGTCATTCTTGGAGAGATGGGGTGTCTAGGAGAGTCCAGAGGCTTGGCCAGCGATAAGTGTCCCGATGGGCCCCCAACCTGCGCCTGGGCCTTCCTGGGCACCGCGGCTGGTGGAAGTGGGTCTTCACAGGTGCCCCCCTTGGGCAAAGTCTCCCTTCCACCCTCCGGCACCAGCCCCTGGATGCTTCTGCCCAGCTGAGTCAGGTGGTCGGGTGGGTCCAGCAGCACCTTTTGTAAGACTGAGTCCACAGCCTGGGACACGGCCCTAGTCAGTTCTTTCCTCAGAATCTCCAGCAAAGCTCGTGTTCCAGATGGAAGGAACCCGGGCTCCTCCGGCTGGAATTCAACCTCAGCCGCTCTGTGATTGTCCACCCCAGGGAGGTGCCCCCTGGAGCCCTGGTGGCAGTCACTGTCCCTGGCCCACAGCCCACACCCGTAGCCATTCCTCTGCTTCACACTCTGGGGGCCCCTCCGCTTGTCAGCCCCACTGGGGCCCCGGGCCCCGAGCCTGGGCTCAGCAGCCTGCAGGACATGCTCTTGCAGTTGTCTCAGCTGTTGCTGCAGCAGATGAAGCTGTTCTCTCACGCGAGGGCCCCCCGTCCTGCTGCCCTGGTTCCCAGCAGGGCCTGGTTTCGGGGGGTTCTGCTGCACGGGAAGGCTCTGCTTCCTCTTCTGCTCCCGGGCCTTCTCTGGGCAGCGTGGGCTGTCCCTGGCTCGGGCACTGCTGGGCACCGGAGGGTGAGGGGAGAGGCCCATGCCTCGGACGATGGTCTCCACTCTGGCCCTCTTCGCCTGGATGTGCTCATCCCAAAACCAGTCAGTGTCGGCGAGGCTGGAATTGGGGGCCTGGATGCGGGGAAAGGAGGAGTCTCTGCCCTTCTCACAGGGCAGTGGACTTCTACCTTCCATGCTGGGGTTTGCTGGCTGGGAGCGGGGCGGGGAAGAAAGCAAGCCAGATTCAGCATCCATCCCCTGGCTCTGCAGTCCCTTGCTCAGAGGCTGTGGGATTACTTGGGACCCATGAGGGAATCCCTCCTCCGAATGTCCTCAGGTCAAGGATTCAGCCTCTGGGATGCGCAGGCTTAGGAAACTCCTGGGCTGACTCGGAAATGAAAATCAGGAAGAACACAGTACCTGTGACTTTCAGTTTTTCAAACTTGAACGTGCAAACAGATCACCTGGAAACCTTGTCAAATGCAGATGCCGATTCAGCAGGTCTGGGCTGGGGCAGAGATGCTGCATTGCTAACCAGCTCCGGGGGCTTTGCTGCTGCTGGTTTGGGGCCACACTCCGAGGAGATCCCTGAGTGATCCTCCAGGGAGACGGTCTCCTGCCAGGGCACAGCAATAACATCAGAATGATGATAAAATAACAGCAGTGAACAGGCACAACTGGCATCATGCCAAGAACTTTACATCCATTTCCTAATTTAATTATCATAACGACTCCATGGGGATGTTGTCATTGTTGCTTTACAGGGAAAGAAACAGGCTCAAGAAGTTAAGAAGCTACCGTATTTTCAGACTATAAGACATGCCCCCCCAAGTTTGGGGGGGAAAGGGGTGGTGCATCTTATAGTCTGTATGTAGCTTACCTGGCTCGCTGTGGGCGGGGGGGGGGGGGAGGTGGCGGTGGAGTGGGGTCACAAGTTATTAAATATTTTACCACATGTTTTGCTTCAAAATTTTTTCCCCTATTTTCCTCCTCTAAAACCTAGGTGTGTCTTATGGTCTGGTATGTCATATAAATATGGTGCCTCCTGAAGTTGCCCAGCTAGTAAGTGGCAGGCTGGAGTCAAAATGAGATCCGTCCAATTCAAAGTAACTTTCTTAGTGATTACCTGTAACAGAACCATCTGGCACTTGTTACGAATAGTGAGTTCAGACCCATGGACACAGACAACAGTGTGGTGATGGCCAGAAGGAAGGGGGTGCCGAGTGGAGGCGGGCAAAACAGGGTGGGGGGGGCAGAGGAGGGGTGAAAATGGGGGCACCTGTAATAGCATCAACGATAAAAATAAAGAAAAAATAGTGAATTCAGCAGTAGACCTGGCGTTTCTGTTAAACAGAATCCCTCAGTGCTGGGGCAGGGAAGCTGCACTTGAAACAGACAAATCAAAATTTGAGGTCCAGCAAAATTTGCTGCCCTGCTCCTGGGGCTATCGAAGTGTGCATTCCTCTGCATTTCATCAACATTTAGCAGCTATTTATGAAGCACCACCTGTGCATCAGGCCTTTTCCGGACACTTGGAGAGACAGCAGTGAGCAAGACCAGTGGAGCTGTGCTCTCCGGAAGCTGACCGTCTAGCAGGGGAAGAGAGAATAAACAGTTTATTTTCAGGCGGTGATGCCAGCTGGGAAGAAAAAGCACAATAGGGATTAGAAATGAAGGCAAGAGGAAAAGGAGGGAGCTATTTTAGGAAAGGCTGCCTCAGGTTGTTTGATTCCCACAAAGTAAATCAAGATTCTCTGTGCTTTAACCTGGAGGCTTCTGATAGCAGGTATAAGGCACTCAGAGTTTCCAGAACATTTGTACGTGTTACCTCATTGCACCTCGCACCAAACTTGAGAAGGTAATTCTCCCATTTTACAGACGAGGAAACTGAGGCTCAACAAAGCTGAGCATGGCTCTCAGTTCCAAATCTTCTGACTCCAAATATTTCGTGCAACCGTCCTTCACCTGCCTCCCTGAAGACGAAGGGACCTGACCAGAGACTGGCTTTCCTACCCGTTAAGCAGACTCTTCCTTTACTAGACGAGGTAAGTGCTTTTTTCCCTCTACACATGTCCATTCCCTTTGCTTCTCTTGCACAAATGCTGCCAGGAGAGAGCCTGCTTTCTTCCTTCCACTCCCATCCTAAAGCTTATGTGGAATTCTCTAGCTCAGGCCAAGCTCAGCTCTTCTGTGGCTGGTGGGTCCTCGCTGCAGATGTGGCCGCAGCCGCTGCCTGGAGCCTCCTGGCGACTGGCAGAGACGCCCACCAGGAGCTCCCCGTGTGCACCTTGCACCGAGTGCCAGGGCAGAGGGTGGGCGGCGGCAGCAGCTGCAGCGCCATTATGGGGAACGTGCCACTGAAAGAAGGCTGGGTTCTTGGGTCAGATAATTAGAAAGCTCTTGCTTTGAGTAAGGCATTTATAAATTATCAAAATAAAAGCAGACGACTTCCCAAATTAATATAATTGAAAGAATTTGTTTTCGCCAAGTTGAAGCTAATGCCTTTAGAGTCACTACCCTTGACACTCATCTATGTGGGGTTTTTTTTAAGGATTTTATTTATTTTTAGAAAGAGAGGAGGGGAGGGAGAAAGAGAGGGAGAAAACATCAGTGTGTGGTTGCCACTCACGTGGCCCCCTCTGGGGACCTGGCCTGCAACCCAGTCATGAGCCTTGACTGGAAATCGAACTAGAGACCCTTTGGTTCATAGCCCACGCTCAGTCCACTGGGCTACACCAGCCAGGGCTCATCTATGTTTTTTTAAAATTTCTTTTTTTCAGTTACAGTGGACGTATCATATTACATTAGCTTCAGGTGTACAACTAATAGGTAAGTGATCAGACATTCACCTGTCTTATGGTCATCCTGACAGATCTAGTGCCCACCTCACACCACACGCAGTTATTACGATATTATTGACTATATTCCCTATGCCGTACTCGACATCCCTGTGACTGTTTTTATTACTGGCAATTTTTACTTCTTTTAAAAATGTTTTAAATTTCCTTAATTTTTAAAAAAAATTTTACTTAACCCTTTTCACCTTTTTCATTCATCCCCCCTGCCACACACACACTCCTCCCCTCTGGTGACCTGTGCTGGGCTGTCCTGGGCTTTGTGTCCCGTGAGCCTGCCAACTCCTTTGTGCCTCGTGTCTTTGCGCTCACCTTTCCCTCTGCCTGGAAGACCTTTCCCCCACTTTCCCACCTGACAAACCCCAACTCCTCTTCTAAAATCCAAGTGAAATGTCTGGGAAGCGATCAGTGTGTCTTTCCCCTCAGGCTGTGAGCCCCCCCTGCGTGTCCAGGCAGAGCCTGCCTGACTGCCAGCTGTCACCAACCGGATGCTGGCTCAGACGCTGAGTACATTGTTCTGCGTGCACTTCGTTTAGACTGATTTTGTTGTTGTTGTTTCCTCATTGGAGGCTGGCTATTTCCGATTCCTCTAGCACATACATGCAACAGAGCCAGTACAGAGAAAGAGGGAGGAAGACAGGGAGTGCGCCCACTGGCAAGAGAGAGCACAGACCCGCAAACGACGCCCCCTCTCCCTCGCGGGTATTTAAGGCGTGGTTTCTGAGGTTGCCTGTGGTTTGCGTGCTCCGGGAGGCAGAACAGCGAGGGGACGAGAGGAGACTCAGTGTGTTTCATGAAGTAACAACCAGCAGGAATGTCTTGAGGCCAGAATCTGGAACTCCAGCCAGACTCCACGGGGGCTGGGCGCCCAGAGATGTCTATGCGCATCTCTACAGGAGGGTCGTGGAAACTCTGTATCAGGGTGGAGAAGCAGGAAGCCACTGTGCTGCCCGAGCCCTCTGTCTGGGCGTGGCGTGAAGTGGCAACGCTTTCTCTTTGGAAACTAACTAGCAGCACTCCCACAGCTTTCAGAGTAGCCTGACTGCTTTTCTTAGATAATGAAAGTAATACAGGATCATTTTACTTCCCAAATATAGAAATGTAGGAAGAAGAAAAGAAAGACACCTGTAATGCTGCTTTCTAGAAAGCAACAAAGTTACAGTTAAAGGGCCAGTATTCATTTTTTTCCAGATCTTTTTCTCTGTGCACAGATAAATTTATAGAATTTTTCATAATTCCATAAATGTTAAAGACCAAAAATGGAACTGCAGATATATAACTGTAAAGCTTCACTTTCTTCTCTTTTGTGCCGATGAAAACCATTCCACGGCAGCAGTGTGGAAGCTGGTGCTATTCCATGGTGCGGACGCACCATGATCCATGTAACAAGTTCCCCTTGACAGACGGATTTTCCCGAGGTTTTCATTAACTCAGCCGTAGAAACAACACAGTAGGAAGATTGGGAGTGCGGGCCTCTGAGTCCGACTGCCTACCTCTGGATCCTTAGAGCCACTTACTAGCTTCGTGACCTCTCTGTGCCTCAGCTTTCTCATCAATAAAATCGGAATGACCATCACACTCGGTGGCATCACAGCGTTTTGGTGAGGGTCCAGTGTGTTAGCGTGTGTTTCTACAACAGTTCCTGGCACCCAGTAAACTGCCGATGAGCGTTGGCTGTTGCAGTGAGGGACACGGAGACGGGGACCCCTCCGTCTGCATCTGGGGGAACTTGTCCCATTATTTCCTTCGGGTGCACTTCTAGAAGGGGGGATTCTGGGCCAAGGACAGGCCTGTGGTAAACTTTTTCACTTCTTGCCCAAATGCCCTCCAGAAATGTGCCGACTGGTTGGGAGTGAGGACGATGGACCGATGGAGAACTTTCCATTTTCATTCTGTAGTAACTGAGTTTGTATAAGAATGTGTTCGTGCATTATTTGTGTGTGTATATGTGTTTTTTAAGTGGCCCCTGTGCTTGCTCACCAGCACACCTGTCGAAGAACACTGTCCCCTCACCTGCATCTGTGCCGGGTGTCGTCGGTCTTTGAAATCTTTGCCAGTACGATGGGTGACCATGTTATTGTTTGTATTTCTTTGATTCTCAGTAATCTTGCTCATTCACATATATTTTTGGGGAATATTTATGTAGTATATATTATAAAACTTAAACATGTGTATTCCATTTGAGTAAATAACCCTACATCTAAGAAGTAAAATCAAGAAAACATGTTATCCCCACAGATTTATGTAAAAAATGACCATCCTAGTATAATTTATAAGAGAGGAGATTGGTGAAATGAATTATAAAGCATGGTATCATCTATGAGAGACTGTATTTATTAT